GAACAGCGAAAAGGATGAGCTGAAAACTTCTAAAAAGTCAAATGAACCAAACCTATACAAAACTTACGAGAACCAACACGCATTATGCACTTTAACATATTTCCGCAATTATGTTATTTTCATAATCTTCCCGCCACTAAATGGACGTTTTATTTCATTTCAGACAACACCCGTGTTTATTTTTCTGCATTCCGATCCGAGACTTTGCTGGGAAGCAACAGAGGTCCACAGAATATCGTGTTCAGTGATGCTAAGATGAATTATGGCGAAAGCTTCGATACAAACACTGGACTTTTCACGTGTACCGTTCCCGGTATTTACTACTTCTCGTTCACAATTCGAAGCTATGAAGGAAAGGGTATCGGTGTATTGTTGATGCAGAATGACGAACGCGTTGTTGCCATGATAACAGACTCCAGCGATCGCAAAGTGATGCAGACACAAAGCGTGGTTCTTGCACTAAATCACGGCGATCAAATATGGTTGCTCCTCGGCCCGTCTGACAATTTTGCCATCTACGGCAACGACTTTAACTACAACACCTTTAACGGTATGTTGTTGCATCGCTCTTAAATTGCTACAAAGCAGTACATTTATGATCCTAAATAAAGTAAAGTTGGTAAAAATAGAAACACATTTTAACTATTGTACGAGTAATGTTTGACGGTAGAACGCCACTCAAATGAAAAAATAATGTATTTATTTTTTTTATTTTTTTTGCATATGTGACGCTCAACAGTGGTGGCGGCACCGGGGTGGTTGGGTGGTGAAGCGCCCGCCGCCCCCAAAATAAAATGCGCGACCGCTTGCTGATCTCCCCCATGCAAAATGTCGTGCCGCCGCCTCTGCTTCATGTTAAAAGGAGAACATTAACGTACACAAGAGGGTTAAAATAGCTTATTTTGACTATTTTACTTTTGTCTCATATGTGGAGAATATATCTTAATAGTATAGTATATTTTATTTGGCACGAAGTAATGCATTGAATTATATTATCTGTGGTCAATAAACATACAACAACAACAACAAGTACCAAACATCAATAACAAATAAAACAATAAGTAAGCAAAGAAATATAAAATATTAGTAGTACATGTCAATATTTTGTTCCGTAACATCAAATGGTTTCTGTGTCCTGAAGGACGATGTCTAGAAATATGAAAGCAGCTTTCAGGGATTTCTAATGACGAAATATGTATCTCTGTACTCTATGAAAACAGACGATAAAGTGTAATTTTGTGCATAATATTTGATTTTTTTCTGAAAAAATGAACAATTCAAAGTGAACAAAAACGACTACATACTGTTGAATAATTCTAATATAAAAAAAAGATTAATTACAGACAGAAATACCAATATTTCCAAAACAAAAGAGTAGCATTATACCATGGGTTGAAGGGTGTTACAAACTTATAACCAGCTATTTTGAATTGATTGTCAGTATACACCAAAACTAACCAACTACTATCTGTTCGTGCTATTGTCATTGTGATAGTTCTATAGTTCTGTCCACAAGCGACTTCTTTTTTTAAAAAAAGACTCAAGTATTATGCGACTGTGCAAGCGATACCAATTTGTGTAACCGATATCTTGTTGTGCAATTATTATTTGTAGACCTATGTTTTATATATTTCCTGTGATAAAAGTTTATCAGCAGTGCCCGCTTGTCGAGTCGAGTACAATTACTCAAACTATTTTTATGGCAGTGACATTCTGTTCAATACTGTCTTTACAGCGTCCATAACTGCTACTAAGACATAGTCGAACATTTTATATGCTACGATACATTTCTTATATTTTAAAAATATGCAGAACGTCACAAAAAGCGTCACATGGTATCTTGCCGTTTTATACTTATTGTATAATTACAATATAATGCATGCTAGCATGTCGTGTGATACGCTTATTACTCGAGACATATTCAACTTTGCTCATTTATAAGTTGTCTCTCTCTCTCTCTCTCTCTCTCTCTCTCTCTCTATATATATATATATATATATATA